CTTCCTTGAGATGCCTTTCCCATAGAGTTGATTTCCCCATAACAGACAGACTATCCTTCCTTCTGCAATTCTGCAGTCTGTTAGCCATTCCTGGTAACATAGTCAATACATGTGTGTTAGGGCAGACTCAAGTAACTGAGTCTGCTGGAGCGTAGTAATTACTGCACTCCAGCAGACTCCAGCATCACATGTATCAATGTCCCCACACTAATAAATGGCAGTGGGGGCAGAATGGGGACACTGATGCACGTAATGCTCCAGGCTATTTAACTAGAGTGGCTCTTGGAGCCCACAGCCTTGTAGACTGTTGTTAACGCCAGCTAAACACATAAGTCCAGATGTGGAAATGTTAACTCATGTGAACATTAACTCAAGCGTGACATTAACTTTCAGTGAAGCACTGGATGCACTATCAAGATGTTCATAGGGTGCGTCCATACATGCAAGCACGTGCTTTAGCAGCAGCTCAAATAGGAGTGGCAGAAACTTGAGTTGGGAATTGTTGCCTCAGCACATGTGCCCGGGCCTGCACTTTGGCATGGGGCAAGTTGTACCACTTGGGCCAAAATAACCCTGCCCAAGTCCAACTGGATCTGCAGCCAGGGGGAGCTAGAGCCTGGGGCCAGCACCTGCACTTCTTGAAGACTCAAGAAGATGTGCTCCTTGTGGTGGCCCGCTTTGAACTGTTAAAGCATGTCCCCTTGCCCTCATATGGCCAAGAGGTGAGCCACCTCATCTGCCCTCCATGGGTCCCCAGGGCTGGCCCTGGACAGGCTCCTTCGCATGGATCTCACCAGTTGTCTCACCAGCAGAGATCCTGACATTCCCTATGAACTGCAAGTACTCTGATAAGAAACCCAAATCTCTCATTAAAATACCCAAAATAGTTTTCTTCCGCTATTAAAATGAAACAACACTATATATAGAGAGGCCAGTTGGGTAATATTTTATTGATATTACAAGTGTAAAGCAATTTCGGGAGGCAGTTGGGGGAGTTTGTGGATGGATGTAGGGTTTGTGAGGGCGAGGTTTGCAGAGATATGGGGCTTGTGGGGGGGTTGTGGCTGGGTATGTGGGTGAGAGTTTTGTGGGGGTGGCTTGGGGATGTGGGTGGATTGTGGAGGGACTGGGGATGTGGGGGGGCTGTGAGGGGTGCTACTCAGGAGGTGTGGGTCCATGCCCCCCCACAGGGAGCAGCCTCCCCACACATGGACTGACCCCCTTGCAGGACCCACAGCTCCCCCGGCATTACACACGTGCCCCAAAGGGCCCTCCCCCGCCGGGCAACAGCCCTCCCCTTGCAGGGCCCAAAACTCACCCCCACAGCAGCAATAGTCATGGGGTGCTCCGGATCCGCTGCGGCCAGAATCCCCAGCAGCACAGTACATCCCTGATTGCCTCAGAGCCAGCACTGCCTGTGCTGCTCAGCATGGGTGTGGCCTGGTTCGGCACAGGGCTGCGCGGCTTCAGGCAGCCCTGGGCCACTTGGACTGTCACCCATGGCACGGCACGGCCCTGCTCGCAGGGACCACGCAATGTGCTGAGCTGGGTCCTGCCTCCACAGGCCTTACACACTGACAGGCCGAGCCTGTTTTGTGGAGGCAAGAACCAGCTTGGCACAATGTGCAGTCCTTGTAAGCGGGGCTGGGCCCCAGGTCACAGCCCTGGGGCTGCCTGAAGCTGCACGGCCCCTGCTGGGCTGCACCCGCACCAAGTTGCACAGGCAGCTCTGGCTCCGAGGTGATCAGGGATGTGCTGCACTGCTGGGGGCTCTGGCCGCAGCAGGCCCTGAGTGCCCCACAGCCACTGCTGCTGCAGAGGTGAGTTGTGGGCCCTGCGGGGGGGGGGGGAGCTGTAGGCCCTGCAGGGTACCCATACTTCCCGACCATCCGCCGACCCCCCCCTCACATCTACAGCTCCCCCCCACCCCCAGTCCCTATTTCCAGGGACAGCTCCTGGGTCACAGCCTTGCGCTGCTCCTGCTTGCCTCACAATGAGAAATAACTGCAACAACAGAAGCTGGGTATAGAAAAAACCCAAAGTGCTAAAACAAAGACTTAAAATCCCTATAAAAGTGAGATGCAGACAAGCCAAGATGGGGAACCCACTCTCTGCAACCTCATGGAGCACGTAGACCCCTGCTCATATCCTCAATAAACCTGAACCCTGCCACCCAGTGCTAATATTGAGTAACATCTCTTGGTAACTATAACATCTTACAGGAGTGGTTTTGTCTGTATGTCTGTCTGTATGTATGCTTGTTTATGTCTGCTTGTAGGAGTGGCGTGTCCAATCTTATGTATCTGCTTCATTTAATCAATGAATACAGCATTTTGTCTTATCCTCCTTTATAAGGTCTTGCTTGTGATTTGAGCAATTGGCAATTTGTGTAACACAAGGGGCACCATAGAGATGCATGGTCTGCAAGACGAACATTCGTGGTCATCTGGACACATCCATAAAGGCTGGGTTTCGTTTTATGAATCTGAAGAAATGTACATTTAATCCCAATAACTGCAAGACTAATGAAACAACATCTTTTGATTACTTTTTGTCTAATGTGCTGTGGTGTTTAAAACATATGATACAGCACATTAATGTATAGTCCAATAAAGTTATATTTGTTTTTCCTTCAATCTTAAACTGCATAATACAGCCGTAGGCTCCTAGCATATTAGTAAAACTTCTAGTTTCTTTTTAACTGGAGTAAAATGTGTTGTGCTGTATTTGTGATGATGCACCACATCATCTGCACCCCCTTTCAAAATCCCAGATCTGCTCATACATTTGGTAAGAGGGATTCATATGCTTTCTCTCTCATAGCATTGGGCCAAATCTTTTATGTATATAAAAGATATATAAAGATGTGTGTGTGTATATATAAAGAAAAAAAAAAAAAATCAATGCTGCAATGCTGACCCTCCCTGTTCCATTCATGGCTGTGCAGATCACCTTCTCTCCCACACAGAGTCACATGACATGCTTGTGGCAGCTACAGCTATTGTTTACATGGAAAAGTAGCATTAGGAAATAATGCATGTATTTGTTTTAGCTGTTTTTACTTCAAGCTAGGAAATGGATTTCTGTGGATTACTTACCCAACCTTAGTTACCCACTGTGAAATACCTCAAGTTACACAATTTACTTGAACATAAAATAGCAAATTTCAGTTCTTATGGGTAAATATTCATTTTTAATGGCAGCTATTCAATGTCCTGTCCTGTTATTTTGACAACAGCATGAAAATCATGCTATATTGAAATACTCCTCTCACCCTGCCCCTCTACAGATGCGAATACTATGTAATTTCAACTCACGAGCAGGATGCTTTAAAGCAGGGGGTCACACATTATTTATGTGGCTGTAAGATACCAAGGACATTCTTTGACTGAACTTTAGGGACAGAGGCTGCTAGGGGCAGGTGGAAGAGGTGACAGTGGTTGTGACTCCAACTCTGAGCCCAGGTCAGGGCCAGAGCCAGAGTTTGATCTGCAGCAGCTGCCTGACCCTCTCTCTCCACTCCCACCTTGTACTCAAATCCAAGATGAGGGGCTTTTCCGCCCCCACGTTGAATGGAGGGGAGCTGGGGGGAGGGAACTTGTCTTGGATTCAAGTAAATACAGGAATGTTATCGTGTGAATTCACAATGTCTGTTTTAAAACACAAGGCCATCCAGTCACATCTTGTGTAATGTGGTGAAGCTTCCAGCTCTGTCAACTTTCTCTTCAAATGTAGGTAAACTTGTGGAGGGGAGGGCATGAAATATAGGGTTTGAGACACATGAATAGGTTTTGTCAAAACCTCTATGTAAAAAAAAACCATTTCAATTTGTAATTTTATGTTGTGCCACTTCCTCTTCATCACTGTTGACCATGGAAAAGAGTCCAGAAATCTTTTCAAGAACTAAAGTGTAATTCCAGAATTTTGGAAATACAAATTCTGCAGAAGCACTTATTGAAATCAAACTGAAAAGGGCTGGTCAGATCCTAGCTGACAAAAATGGCAGAGAAGTCATCACAGTTATGACAACATATAACAGGTGAGAATGCGGTTTAAGTATTAAGTAAGTGTTTAAGTATTAACATGCAGTATCATTCTTTTTGTTGTTTTTGCAGAAAAAAGCCACAAAGCAACAAAAAGTGTTTGGAAAAAACAACTTAACTGATAAAGTTGCCATCTGTATTAAACATCTAGCAAATTAAACATAACCTTTTTTATGAATTTCATTATCTTTTGATCCAATTTTTCCTTGCATTTTTTGGGTGTAGGGTGTACCAACACACCCCGCCACGCATATCCCAGCAAAAAGACTTCATCCCTCTCCCTTGCACCCAGTAACAGCAAAAAATGAACATGAAAAATAATATTAAAAAAACTCTGTATTCAGTAATATTCACACCAAAGTGTATATATATATATCCATTAAAATTATGAACAATTCTAAATATATTTTATGTATCATACATATATTTATATGTATAATTACATATCCACAGATGTTGTCTTGCTGTGCTAAAGCCAGCACTTAAAGCAGAAACAGGTTTCACAATAGGACACCCATATAGGCATATGTACTGGCTGTTTGGTTTGTGAATTTATTTACAACTTAACTATATAATAATAAATGATTACTGCTCTATTTTACAAATGTAATAATAAAGGTTCAGGTTTGGTTTTTTTTAAATACAAAGACTGCAAATGAATACGTGAAAAAAATTACACACCATGTACAGTAT